CAAGGTTCAATTCATTCCTAATAAACATAAAAACGTGTTAGATTGCTTTAGTCAGCTCGATATTATGATATCCTTCACGTCCATCTGCCCGCATCGTTTGGGGTCACTAGTTTACCTACCTTCCACGATTTTTTTTTGAAAGGGCACGGTCATCACGGGATTCCCATAAAAGATCATTTTTTTGTACTTAACGCTTCAAGTATTACATTAAATGCTAGCGTAAAAAGAAGTAAAGGGCAGGGTCAGCAGGACGGTTTGTAATTTCACTAGGACCTCATTTCCATGGGGTCACGAGCCCAATTACTCGGACATAATATTTGCCTTGCAAATCCAACACCGGGCTTCCTTTCCTAAAAAAGACTTGCGACAAGCCGGCTGGGAAACACCCCGTTGCATCACAAACCAACTAATGTTTAGTAATGAGAAAATAAAGACTAAGACGTTCCTCGAAACGACGCACACACGTGCCCGACGGATGCAAATGGGCCACCATCCTACGAGGACGGGTGAGAGACCTAACTCGGTCAACGCAATACTCGAGAATGGAGTTCCGATTAGCCACAGTCATTGTGGACTGGACGAGATCGTGAGCTGACATATCTTCTGAAAGAATGACAAGCGTAGCCTGCATACAGAAACCGGAAAGGAGGGAGTCACGCAACATCGGCGATGGTCATAAGCTACTCTTAAAGCAGCAAAAAATGGTGTTGGTATAGCTCTTCTGAGACCATGGGAATTGGAGCTGGAGTAGAACGAGTAAACGATCAACTTATGAGCTTAAAGATCGATACTGGGAAAAGGATCCTTTGAGCTGTTACTGTCTACGCACCGCAAGTTAGCAAAAAGGAAGAAATGGCAGCGAGCTTCTAGCAGGAGCTCGATGAACATTTCAGATCAGTTCCACAAAAGGAAATGGCGAAATAATACAGGAAAGGGACACAGGAACCACGGATATGGAATATGCAGTGAAGAGGGCGGACGCATACTCGAGTTTGCTGCTTATCACTTGGTGTTGGC